TCATCCATCTCTATTTTACATTTATATTTTCTGATAAACCGTAAAGTCGATTGTCCCAAGACTTTCTTTAACAGAAGCATTCAAATTCAACCTTAAAAATTCTTTTCCTTGCCAAGTATTGATCTATATCTGATTAGGTGGAACTAAGGTTAGAAGTTATTTGTTCTAGAAAAAATAAATCTCAACTAAAGATTAATAAGATACTTGAAAGAACATTTACTCTTATTCCAAAAGCAACATTTCTCCATAGTAATTCTTGAATTTTATTACCCCTAAAGACATTCATTTTAAAGCAATTCCCCTCTAAATATATTTTCCTTCTCCATATCTCCTTACCCAGATGAAGACCATGGATTCTGCTTCTTAACTATCGCTAAGCAGTTATCAGCGGGCCTTGAATGCGGTAGATACACCAGTGAGCTCTTTGGGTTAAGCCTCTTGATTCTGTCCAGCAAAATGATCAGTTTAACATGTATTTCTTTTTTAACAAAAAAAAAAAAAGAAAAGAATAAGTAAATACATTGAAAGTTTTACTAAGAGAAGCTAGAAATAAGGTTAAGGTTGAATGGTTAACTTACTCATAGCCAAGCAGATAGTAGTGGAGAAATATCGAAATTTCAAGTTTCGCGAGATCATATCCAGGGCAAAACCTGGTTCCTGCACCAAAGGGAATGAAGCTGCATGGTTTGGGTATGTAGTCCTGCGAGCAATTGACACAGAATCAAAAGAAAGTATACTATATTTGACTGATATCAATAGATACATGACATGCATGCACAAAACCACATACTCTCACTATATTGAGAGCAAAATGCAACCCACCTCAAATCTGGAAGGATTAAACTCCTTTGGATTTGGATAAATCTGAGGATCCATGTGAACACCTCTAAACCAAGCAAGAACTTTCCATCCCTTAGGAATAAAGTAACCTAAACCAAATATTCAAATATATTTAATTGATTCAAATTCTCTAAGCCTCACCTGTATAAGTTTTCTTAAGTAAGTACCATGACAAATAATGTAATATCAAATGAAATTCTAAATATATATACTTACCGTTTATGTTGACATCTTTTTTTGTCTCACGGAAGGCCATAAGTGAGAATGATACATATCGAGATGTCTCATTAATTATCTTAAAAAATAAATAAATAAATAAAAATGCAGTATTCAAAATGTTAACTCTAAAAGAACGTAATAAAAGTTAATAGATATAAATTGATAGACATATTATATAAGTAATATACCTGATTAAGATAAACCATTTCCCGAATTTCTTTAAGATTCACACCTTTTTGTGTTGATGGCCTCCTTTCTACTATGAGTTTTTGCTCTTCCTTTATAGCAAAGTCAAGGTTAAGAAAAAGAAGAATATGTTTGTATGTGTCTGTATGATTTCATTTATCTCATTTATTATATATAAACTTACTTTTTAGAATAATTTATTCCATATATTTATGTGTCTGTATGCATAATAATATGTTCATCAAAATCTTGTTTTACACGTTTTGCCATGAATTTGAAACTAAGTGAGCATCACAAGCATATTTGTTTTTGCACATACCGTAGCTTTTTTAAGGACCTCTGGATGATTTTGCATCAAAATAACAGCCCACATCAGGGTATGCCCAGATGATTCATGGCCTGCATTTAGATACATCAACATAATGTCAATAAGGTCATCATCGCCGAGTTTATCTCCTTTCTCGTCTTCAACATCTAAAAGACGATCCATCATGTCTTTTCCTTTCGATGGTATGTTGTTCTTCCTTCTATTTCTTCGATTATTCACTACTGATTGTAATATAGCCACAATATTCTTCCTAGCCTGAAAAATAACAATAGCTTCTGCAAGTTAATAAGAATTTCTTTCTAGTTGTATATAATGCATTTGCTAAATTTCTACGAGGTTGAGATTAATTTTAATTCTATTGGAAAATGATGATTATATAATTAAATTTTTTGAATAAACATAACATTCTAATTGCAAATCAATTCTATGTTCAATTCAAGGTAAGCATTTCTATTATTCCTCCTTTGAAAGTGAGAATACATGTATATAAGTGATCTAAAATATAATTAAGTTGGTTCAACTATGCTTTATGTAACTAAAATTTATGTAGTAGATAATGAAAATTTTAAAAATAAAATTGAACCAAATACAAACGAAAATTTTATATTTAAGCATACCTTACGAGCTTTATGGTAAGCAAACCCAGGAATGTCGATTGCCATTGCCCTAAGTCCAGCATTAAGTGTAGTGTATTCTTTCTCTAAGGCATTCATAATAGGCTCACTCTCTTCACTAAGACAAATATGAACTATAATCTTAAAAGTGAGTTTTCGAAGCTCAGTCAGGAACTCGATTGGTCCCATGTCGATCCATTTTTCTAAATTGGTCTTCGTTATCTCTTCTATGTACTCCAAGTAAACAGATAAAGCATCGTGACCTTTGATTGGAGTTGCTGTTAGTTTTCGAAGACGCTTATGATCTTCGTAAGAAATGGCAGCAAATGATTTCTTGCCCATTAGCTCTATTGTGGCTTTCGGCCAACCAGACTGGAATGCATCATCATCTGTTAACACTTTCTTCAGAGTTTCTGGAGCTGTTGCTAACACACATGGATGCCCAAATAAAACGGTCTTGTATAGCCCAGTGCGTCCATATCTGTGTATTTTAGATAAACAATAATATAAACATAAACTATAATATATATCGCATTAAATATTAGTATAGTAGATTTTATAGTATTTACCAAGATGAATCCACAAAAGACAACAAACAAAAATAATTAATACCACTTTGATCTCGGATTATGTCTCTCTAATATCTTTAATTTCTATCTCAAGGTTTATGTGAAAGCTCGTTCAGATTCTATACCTCTGTCATCGACTCTTTCAATTAGTTTTGTCTGTGTATGTATATTTATATCTAGATTCTACTTCATGTACCACTACTTTTTCTAGTTTATAATCAAAGAGAAAGCTCATACATATATACATATACATATATGGAAGAGATTAAAAGAAAAGTAAGATGATTAATAGAGTAATTTAGTACCTTTTGATAAAACTGCCGATGAAAGAATCAGGTCTACGAGTTTTGAAGTATCTAAGAAAAGTCCACATAGAACCAATCAAAGGCAAACCCATATCACCTGGAGGTAGAGAGTACTGCTTGTCCCCTAACTTAGACACATATAGCCACCAATTGGCTCTTGTAAGCAACCATTTCAGACCCACCAAACCCACCACCATGCATATCATGGTCGACCAAACTGAACCGAACTCATCCATGGCTCTTGAAATGAAACCATTAGCTCCCTCTCCTGGCTCTTTTATTTCAAATGTACTCTTTACCTTTATATATACAAGGTTTGAACAACGTTCAATGAATGTAGTTAGTAGTAAGAGAAGAGAAGACAAGTAACGGATGCAATCCACAAAGGAAAAGTTGGAACAAAAATTAAAATTAAATGGTAAGAGTAAGTTACCATAAACAGGTCTCATTTAAAGCCAAGATACCATACCATTTTTTATCTCTTTATTTGGTTATGTCATTATTTTGATGATATCTAAAATATTGAAGGAGAGGACAAACCATGTTTTCTCTTCCAAATAAGGCATTTTGTTAAGCATAACGTTGTGCTAATGGTAGAACAATTTTACGCCGACTTTGTTAACATCATTCGTAATAATTTAATTACCGAGAATGAATTTATAATAAAAATTACGATATGTGGTACTCTGATGACTTACTCGTAAATAAATTCGTGATTTGGATGATTACGTTTGTCGGTCAATAGAAGTTAATTCGACATTAAAATAATTAATTTATTTTAGTGTCTCAATTAATTTATGGGTAATTTGACTAATTTATTTTGGAAAATCTATTGAAAGAAAAATAATTTAATCAGGTTAAAAAAAGTTGGATCCAATTCATTGTATAAGCAATAAGAGACAATTACCGTGCTTCTTTGGAAATTAATTAGCAAAATCATGTACACAAATTTTGAATAGAGAAGACAAAAATTTGATAACCTTCCATTTTGTGAATTATAATCCTCATAGACTTTTATTTTTGCAATAATAATTCCCTTCCTTTCCACAATAAAATAATATTTTAAATTTATTTTTTTTAATTGAAAATTAAATTCCTTTCTATATATATATATATATGAATTTAATCATTATAAATCTTATCCTTAATTAGGAGATAATGATATTAACAGTTCGTTTATCCTTATAAAAAAAATTATTATATTTTTAGTATCAGAGCATGTTTTTAAATTTGATATAATTTTTTTTTAAAAAAATTAACTTTTAAAAGAATTATTATCTCTTTATATATATATATATATATATATATATATACACTTTGTATCTTAATACTATACACATAACTCGTATAGTGGTTCTACTAGCTCAAAATAATGACTCGTTTAGACCCATCTTAAATTCAAGGGTATCAATTGATTGTATCTATCTATAAATTCAATATTATTCTTTTTGTGTATAATCCATTTGTAAATTTTTTACGATGATTGTTGTTTTTTTGTAAATTCTTTACGATGATTGTTGTTTTTACTCTATATAACTATTACTAAATACAATTTTTTTATATTAATTGAACTAAACATAATTTTACAGAAACGATTATAGATTTTAAAATCTCAATTAATATATTAATTATATGAAGATTACAATGATCGGTGTGCAACAACGCTTAATTGCGGATAAATAAGATAAATTGAAAGGATCTTTTTAACTCTTATTCCGAAAGCAATATCTCTCAACAACAATTTTTACATTTCACCACAACATCAATACTGGGAGATCGAGATCACGGGTTATGCTTTATAACTATCGCCGAACAATTGTCAACAGGCCTCGGATGTGGCAAAAATATCAAGGGAGCGCTCGGATTAAGCCTTTCCACCCTGTAATACCAAAAATAAAATGATAAATTTAATATATTTTTTTCATTTGTAAAAGATAATTTTTATCGATATAAGATTAAAGTTGAAAGGCAACTTACTCATAGCTGAGGACAAAGTAATGAAGAAACACTGAAATTTCAAGCTTGGCAAGATCTTTTCCAGGACATAACCTAGCTCCTGCACTAAAGGGCACGAAACTGCAAGGTTTGGGTGTGAATCCCTGCAATATTAAAGAAGAACCAAAATAAAAATTCTACCACACTTGATATATTACTGGAAATATATTATATATAAGCACAAAAACATATACCCCGCAAGAAGGAGAATTCAACTTACATCCCATCTGGAAGGATTAAACTCTTTTGGGTCTGGATAAACTTCAGGATCCATGTGAACACTTCTAAACCAGGCAAGAGCTTTCCATCCTTTCGGAATGAAATAACCTAAACCGCAAAAGCAAATTTATAACCTGATTCAAATCATCTTACTTTTATTTATAAATATTTCGTAAAATAAATGTTATATTATAAAATAATTCTCAAAAAATATATGTACCAACCATTTATGTTGACATCTTTTCTTGCCACACGAAAAACCATAAGTGCAAATGATGTCCATCGAAGCGTTTCGTCAATTATCTAAATAAAAAAAAATAGAGATATATTAATTTATAATTCAATTAATATTACTTTATGTAGATAGTTAATAAAATTTATAAAGATATAATATTTGTAACATACCTGATTAAGATATATCATTTCTCGAGTTTCTTTGAGACTCAAACCCTTTTGTGTCGGTGGCCTCCTTTTGACTATGTTCTCTTGCTCTTCCTTTTTAGCATCAACGAAGTTAAGTAAAAAGTGAAATATTAAAGATCATACAAAGGAAGCATTATTTTCACCTTATATAGTTGCCAACTATACATTCAACTATAAGAAAATTAAATTACTCTATTTCCTTTTTACCATATATTCCATATGTGTTAGATGTAAAAACATGGATAGACACAAAAGACATATATATATACATATATAATATATTATAAAAAATAAGTTTGACAACTTTTTATTAGTTTAAGCTTTTGAAACAACAAATAATAATAAAACGCTTCATATGATATCAGATTATTTAGACTTTAAGATTTGACTACTAGCCCATTTCTAGTTAGGAATAATATACATTAAGCTTGTGATTGATCCCTGCTATAATACTAATTAATTCTTATATAGAGTCTAAATTGAGTTTTAGTAACTAGATCATTGTTTACATTTTTCTTCTCTTAGAGTTATACAATACACAAGCATCATAGTCATGTATGCTTTTTACATACCTTAGCTTTTTTGAAAACCTCTGGATTTTCTTGCATCAAAATAGCAGCCCACATCATAGTATGTCCAGAAGATTCATGGCCAGCATTTAAGTACATCAACAAAATATCGATTATGTAGTCATCACCCAGTTTATCTCCATTCTCATCTTCAATGTCTAGAAAATGGTCCATCATGTCTTTTGCTTTCGATGCTATGTTGTTCTTCCTCTTATCTCTTCGAGCAGTCACTATTGATTGTAATAAAGCCACAAGCCTTTTCCTAGCCTAGAAAATAACAACGATTTTTACGAGTTAACAACATATTCCATGTTTAGTTATAAACCATATATACTAAATTTTTATAGTATTGAATTTAGTATCAAATTTCTGTTTGATAACTTACGACTAAAAATATAATACAAATTTTTCAAAAAGCTAAACGAAAATAATATTTTAAATCTTGTTTAAATCTATGGAAATGTTATGTGTTCTTGTGATTCTAATTCATTTTTTAAATAATGACAATATAAATCTGTTATTATGAAACTAATGATATTAGTGGATGCCGTTAATATATGCATCAAATATAAAAAATTATGACTAAATTTTATATAAAAACTAAAACTCATGAATAAAATAATAATAGAAATAAAATACTTGAATAAAAAACAACTTAAATGAAGTTTATAGAGATACGAACCTTTAGAGCTCTATGATAAGTAAATCCAGGGATGTTGATGGCTAATGATCTAAGTCCATAGTTAAGTGCACAATATTCTTTCTCAAATACTTCCATGATCGGCTCACTCTCTTCACTAAGAAAAATTCCCATTATGATCTTGAAAGAGAGCTTTCGAAGTTCTGTCAAGAATTTTATTTCTCCCATGTTCGACAATTTCTCCAATGTACTCACTGCATCCTCTTCTATGAACTTCAAGTAACCGGATAGAGCATCATGACCATTGATGGGAGCTGAAGTTAACTTACAAAGACGCTTGTGTTCGTCATAAGAAATCCCCACAAATGATTTCTTTCCCGTAAGCTCTAGTGTTGCTTTCGGCCAAGCAGAAACGAATGCTTCATCATCGGTTAGCACTCTCTTCATTGCTTCTGGTGTGGTTACTATCACACTTGGATGACCGAACATGAACGTCTTGTACAATCCAGTTGGCCCACATCTGTGTTTTTTTTTTTAATACATTATAAGTAAACTATGTGAACACATATATATACATATTCCATACTATGAGAGAAAAGAATTTTATTTTATCTCATACCATAACTAAAATTTTGAGAACTCTATTCTTAGCCTTACTTAATTGTAATAACTTAATCAATTATCATTAATTCAATTTGCTGATAAACAATTAACAATCTAATTAACTATACATACTCCTAAACTCACACTTTAAATTAGAAGATATGAAAATTCTACTTAGAATGAAACAGACAAATTCAATTTATCAGAACATCATATGTTATTGAAACAAAAAATTTTAATTTCTATCATTTAAAGATGTCATTTGGAATATATTATTTTGATTTCAATTGAAAATTTTATCATTCTTGTATGACTCGCATAATTTTTTACAAAAATTATGTACAACTTTACTGATTAAATATGTATTATTTTTTAATTCATTTCAAATATAGCATAAAAAATAAAAGTATTCAATTAGTACCTTTTGACGAAATTATTGTTGATGAAAGCATCAGGATCGGAAGACTTCATATCTCGAAGGAATGTCAAAATGGTGCCAATCAAAGGCCAACCCATATCACCTGGAGGCAAAGAGCAGCGCTTGTGTCCTAACTTGGACTCATGCATCCACTCGTTAACGCTCTTCAACAACCATCTCAGACTCACCAAACCCACCACCATGCACAAGGCAGCCATCAAAATCGAACCCATCTCAGCTTTACTCGTCGAAGCAAACTCCATTAGCTTTCTCTCTCTCAAACCTTTTCTTTCAAATGTACTTCAATATTTTGAGCTTTTATTCTTATATAGATGGTTTTAGCTAAGTTCAATGTATGTAGATAGTCACAAGAGAAGGCAAGTAACATAAATGAATAAAGACAACCTAAAACGAAATGTAAGAACATAAATTGACATAAATACAACCTAAAAAGGAAGGTAGGAAAATAAAATATTGAAAATTATTCTTAAATGAATAGATTTAACTTATCATGGTACCGCATTAAATGCATATATTACCTCCTAATTTGAATTTAATAGCTTATAAAGAGTGAGGAAATCTACCAACTTGTAAGGTGAACCCACTTTCCCTTTGAGAAATTTGGGAACATCATTGACAATACTTTGAAAATTTTATGGTCACATCAATATCGTATACAATTGAATTTTTATATGATAAAGTTTTAATAAATTTGGTTTAGGAAATGAAATAAAATTATAGTAAAATTTTTATATTATAAGCATGAGAAAATATTTTGTTAATAGAATTATATTTGTATTATAGTGCTTAATTTGGAATTACAAATAATTGAATACAATTTCATTACAATTTACCAATATTATGGAAAGATTAATCAATTAATTGAAACTTACATTGACAAGAAAGGATAATTTTTTTAATAAAAGTAAAAATTTATTTAGTATAACCAAATCTATAATATTTATTCATCATCCCCAAAATTCATAAATTAGTTCTACATTTTCTCAAATAATCACAATTATAAAGTAATAATTTAGTCAAAAAAAAAAAGAACATAAATGTAAAAAATAAACATTAAATACTAATTATTATATCTCTAAATATAAAAGTATATTATACATGAGTAAGTCAAACGTCTCATGTAATCTAACTTAATTTGTGAAATTCTATTAAAATGGTAATGACTTAAAATCTATAAATGAAAATTAGGTTATATAATTTTTTAATTTATAGAGAACTTATTTAATTTGTGATATG